GTTTTTATACTTTTCTGCTGGATGGTTAAGACCAAGGTCAAGCAGCACCTATGCAACAAGAGTTGTAGTTTTTGGGTCTGATAAGGTCAGTGAAATCCCCTCAGGATTTATCCCAGGATCCTGTACCTCAGATTGTAGAACCTTTGTCAGTGTCAGCCATGTGGATGCGTCACGACCATTGCTTGGCCAATGTGATCTCTATGAAAGCCTGAGAGAATGTTTTCTCTCCATGTGACTTTCTTTAGGCATACTCTATATCATCAATCACTTTCTTCTTTGGCCCCATAATGTCCTTGATGAGAAAATTTGGGACACTACTGAGTTATATGATATTACAGTACATGTTCTCATATGTCCTGAATCTTAATTGATCTTGGAAGGCTAGGGCCAAAATTATCTTTCCTTGTGGCTCTCTTTTTCTCTAATTTTGGTCTGCAAACTTAGGTTGTTAACCCTCCAGAAGAGAAGCTTATTGTGATTGTCATACAACCTAGGCTGTTAAGCTTAAACTCACTACCTGTCTGAATATCAAACATCTTGGGCATCACATTGAACAGGTATTTTTTTTTTTTGAGGGTAAAGTTTGCTTTATTCAATTAAATTCACCAGCTTGCCACTTTAGATGGAATAATAAAATAGAAAATTTATTACATTTTCAGATCTTTTAAAATATGAATAAAGGACAAAAACTTTTTTACAAGTCTTACAGAGGTACATGCTAACATAATATTCTCTTACATTTCCCAAGTGTACAAAATACATTATACAAAAGACTTAAGTTTGCATACATGAAATTAAATAAAGCATTCAGACATTTCTATGATGTCATAGTGCAATATGCACATACTTAGAAGAAAAATACTGATTTCCTGAGCAACATTGTTGTAATTCAAAATAACAATGATTTCTGTCATAATGCACCATATTTAGGCATAGTCTTTAAGAATTGCACCTGGAGCTGGGCATATGGGTCAATGGTATAGCATTTGCCTACCATGCAGCAGGCTCTGGTTTGATTCTCAGCACCACAGAACAAAAATTAAACACCTCCAGCTTTGCCTTGTAACACTTTGGATGGATCTTTGCTTCATATTTCTAAGTACATCCTTCATGTTTCCAACTAGAAGTAGGTCTTTTAAGAATGAATAATTAAATAGTGGTTCAATGAAAAGGACTTTTAAGGCCACTGAACAGTCAGGTAGAGTCTCAGAAAAAAGCTTTAAGTCAAGAAGCCCTCTGAAGAAGACAGCTAGACCTGACCCTAGGCTTCTAATTCCCAGTGTGGCCAGCACACCACATTCGATGTGAACTGTCAAAATATTTCATTTAATTGGTCAGTCTTTAGTTCAAAAGTTAACTATGTCACTCAGACATAACAAAAAGCCCTAAAGCTATGAAATTTTCATTTGCTACTCTAAATTTCTAAGTGAACCACAATGCAATGATTCACAGTTCCATTAATCTAATTTGCAAGCACAAATATAAACCTCCAAATGAATTCAAATAAGGTTTTCAACTCAAAATTCATAATTATTAAATAGTACTTGTGCTTATGTTGTTGTACAACAATTTGTATTTGCTACAAATTTAATGTACATCAGTATTTTTAAAATGTTAAAATTCTTAATTCCATTTAATATTTTAAGAAAAATTTAAAAACAGATTAAACTAATTCTCTAACCTATATGTAGAGTTACATATAATTCAAATTCTTTAAATATATATAATTGAAATACATAGAAAAAGCAATTGCCTGACTGTGTATCATCAGGATATATGTTGTATTTCCTTCAAAAAGGATACGCTGCAAGACAGCAAGTGGCTTAGTACCGGACCTTACTAGAATCGGACCCGTCGATCACAATTTCAATGTAAAACTAACGAAGGAATCAGTGAATCTAAGTTCACCAATTGAGTGTTCACAGAGTATTCAATGGACATCAGCCTGTTCTGTCCTGAAGTAGTAGTCTTCATGTTCTACTCTAAAGCTGGATTTTTCAGTAGGCTTAATAAAGTTAACACTGAGCATAAATTAAAAGACCACTCCTCTTTTCAAGATGCCCAAGGCACACTAAGATAATTTTAAAATATTTAACTAAAATTCCTGAAACAATTCACTGCAACTTCCCTATAAAACACTTTCTGGAAGAAAATGCAACAAGGCGCTGATATATGTGAGACTTTGAAATGTTGACTTGTCTCCTTATGATGCTTTTTTTGTGAAAATACATAAAAGCCCCTACGCTAACTATTTATTCCAGTACTACAATTGTATCAGGATTGGAGTTTGAAATCTGAAATGACTGATGAAAAACTGAAAGGTGAAAGACTGGGAAGCAATGGTGCTATTATGTACCTACGGTGAGGACTTTACACAAAATAGCCAAGCCAGACTCCACCAAATCTTGCTTCTATTGGATTATTTTAAGTTGCATTTTAAAAACAGATATTTTTAAAAAGTGGAGGATGGAAATCAGTACGCAAATGTCTCTCAGCCAACTGTGGCTGTTGCGTGGCAGATCTTAAAAGTGGTCTCACCAAGCCCTTTTACCCAATCACCCCTTTGGCCTGTATTCTCCAGTAGGACATTAGAGTTCAGCGGGGAGTCTTAGCTGCACACTATCACTTTGAAAAACGAGGTTAGCGGGTCCACAAGAGAAGCCACTTCTCCGGTATGAGAAAACGTCTCAACTTGCTTTTGCGTAACTATTTTTTGCAAGTGAGGGTAAGGTGGAATTTACGCCTCTGTGAATGCATCCAATTGAACCAACTGAAATTCTACTTCAATTCTAAAACTTGTATCAACTTACATAAAGCATAGTATAAGGCATTAAATGTAATTAAGGCATGTTACTATATGTAACAGCAGTGACTTATCACAGTATGTAAGAAGTTATATTTCTAAATAATGCTAATTTGTACTATAACACTTCATTGAACTACAAAGTGCTTTCAAATTATCAATTGAAAACAGAAGCAGAAGTGAGGTTAAAGGATCTGTCTTAAAACATTCTTTAAGAGAGAAAAATTATTTTTAGCTTTCACCTACTCCTGTGTTCTAGTAGTGATCAAGTGCCAAATTTTCAACTGTACCACATTATCTTGGTGCCTTAAAAATCTAATTTATTTCTTAGCCTCTGTCAGAATTAAACATGTTCCTGTTGCCTAGCATAGGTGCCAAATGTGTTTTTTTTAATAAAAATTTCAAAAAGGAATGTGAAGTACTTGCTATCAAATAATTTTAGAATCAAACTTTTTGGCAACTAAGTAATTTGGTGGTTCACAGTAGTATATTTTCTTTTTAGACATCTGATACCACCATCATTCTGCTTCTGAAATGTAGCATAACTCTAAATAAAAATTACTTAAAAGATCCAATTCAAACACATCTATTCTTGAATAAGAAAACCCATTGTCTAAGAGCTTCCTAAACACACACTTAAATTCATTTTTTTCCTTTAAGTATTGATAAAACAGACTTATGGGTCGAGTGCTCTTTACTTAACAACCAGCAACTGTAGGGATTTTTTATATAATCCACTTATAAAAGCTCAAAAGGTTCTAGGTAGAACAAACACAGCATCTCTGATCACCTCACATCCTGCCTCTGCAGTGGTAACTGAACAGGCTTCGCCACACTCCCGATGCAATGTGAGGAGCTAACTGCTACGTTCTGTGTGGAGCAGCAGCTGGCTGAGAAGCGCCATACGGTCTGCGGCCATCCTGCTGGCCAGCATGCATGCCTCTGGAGGGAGCAAGGCCATTCTCCAGTTCTCTGTGCTGTGATGGGGGTGTGACTCCTGAATGCAAATGTGAAGAGTCCACTGTTGAATGGTGGTGACTAACATCCACTTTCGCTAAAATTTCATAGTACAGCAAATAAAACACTGGTGTTATTATACCTACTATCAACATTATCACCACAGCTGTCCACCACCCTATTCCCCAATCTGCTCCATAATAGGGATCCTTACGTTTTGTGTTTTTGTTATCGGGTTCAAAACGAATTTGCTGTGTGGTCAAGGCAGACACCACTTCATTAAGGTTCTCCTTCTTGGTGTTTGTACACTTCACTATTTGTTCTATGTCTCGATCCACTTCTTTTAAAAAACTACCAGCTGACTCACTGGATGAAAGACAGTTGTTTGCTGGCAGAATTTCCTGTTGTTCTGGTGCATACTGAGCAGGCGAGGGCTGTGAACCCAGTCTTCCTTTTGGAGGATAAAGTGATTCAGTCAATGAACTAAACTTTTTCACTGGAATTTTGATAGCTCTAAGGGCAAAAATGTCTTGATCGCTGATGAGATTGTTAAGTCTCTTGATGTCTGCTACCTGTGAGAAAGAAAGATGCAACATTCAACTGTATTCTAAATCAAACTAGATGTAAAAATCATTATTCATCCCGCTTACTTTTGGAAGGAAAAATTGAGCTTAGTTGTTAATATTAAATTACCATGTTTAGAGATTTGAATTTTGATTCACAAGCTTCAGGAAATCACCAACTCTTTTCCATAAGCTCTGCTACGGCACACTATTCAGTAGGTTTGGTCCTGTGCGGCTCCCCCAGGTACGTTGGGCAGAAGCACCACAGTCCTGCGTGCCTGGGAGCAATGTGAAGGGAGGCTCAGATTACTGGGCAGACGGGCTTTACTCCAACTGGCGTAGCAAGCTGACACTAACCTTTTAAAAGTCCTACCTTATCAAAACTAAGATACCATCAACTCTAAGACGTATTAGACGTATCTACTTCTAAGGAGGAAAGAAACCACTAAATATACTGAAGGTGCCAAGGTTCCAACTTCAAAGGTATTAAAATGTATGAAAATATGCAATAAAATACAATAATTTATTTTCCTTAATTTGTCCTTTGAAGCCACTTTTTCTCTTGCCTCCTCAGTGTAAATATATTACTCATCTAGCGCCAGGATCAGCCACAGGTGTGTCTCCATATCCTCGCGGGCCTCCACCTGTCTATGTCCTCTGTCCCTGTGATGAGGCAGAGGAGCATTTTTAGATCAGCAATGCCACAGCACGTCTTCTCAGCACCCTTCCATCATTCACCCCGTTCGTCTCTCCCATCAGTGGCTTAATCAGCTCTAACTGTCAGAGGGGTAGTGTGAGTCTAGGATGAAACTTAAGGTTTCTGATAGTTCGGTCAGCTCTGTGGATGATGCCGCCATTTCCTGAGGCGGAACAAGTGCTGCTGAGTCAGGAGAAGATGAGCACAGATTTTAGCCACGATGGCGGTGAGGTGCTTCAGATACACAAGCGGAAAATGTCAGACCCTCCAGCTCACAGGCAAGGCCCTCCCTCATTCTGCTTTATCACATTCGAGCTTTATCACAAGGGAGACTCCCCTACGATGCAGTCCTACTGTCCTCTGGCTGTCTCAAATCACTCAACTCAGTCTGTGCTACCCACTACAGGACTGAGAATGACCTGAGACTCAGCATCACCAGAAAGACAGGCAGAAGGTGAAGAGAAGATCCCCGACGAATGCCAACACTTGGACTATGCTGGGTATGAAAATTCCGCAGAGGGGACTTAAAAAGAGAGGCCAGAAAGCAGGATCCTACCACACTGGCTGGAAGCAGGAAAGGTGCGTGTGCAGCACAACTCACATTTCCCAGCTGTGTGGCTGGGGTAGCCATTTATTTATTTACTTATTTTTCCCATAAATTTATTGAGAAACAAATAGCAATGAGACAGTTTCAAACCAAACTAGTAGGACAGTTTCAATAATTAACACATTGTATACATTCTTCCTAGTGGTTATTTGCTGTACAAGATGCGGACATGATATCCTATTTACAAACACCATTAGAACAAA